GCAAACAGAAGAATAAAAGACTGAGTCCCGCAGCAGGCGGGAGCCATAACCACAGAGCACGACAGCTTGGAAATCGTTGCTTCCTTTTTCAGGCAGCCATTAGTTATACAAGGGTTTTGACAAACTGAGGCGCAACAGGAACATAATCTTAAACGCTAGCCTAAAAAGGCTGGTAATCCCAAAACTTGCAGGCAAATTTTTGTTCAAAGGTTTATCCAAAACGGGCACCAAAAAAACCGGGAAAACGCATTTGCTTCCTCTCCCGTTACCATTTTTTTCTAGATCCTCACATCTACAGCTGACTTTGGATCGTTCTTCAACACAACACTTAACATCAGCAAGATCAGCACAGCCTCGTCCTTAATTTCTCTCTTTTGTTCGCTCCCAGACTACCTGCTGCCCTGCTGTGGGGCTGCTGCTGTGTCCTGAACTGCCAGCCCCAGGGGCAGAGCTCCCTTGGAAGCCTCTCTCTCCCACCCGATGCCTCCCTCTTCCTTTTTAACGCTTCTGCGGCAAGCATGGCAAGAGAAAAAGGAACCCAAAAAGACAGGCGTTGTGCCTTCAAATGCCAGGAGAGTGGAAAAGCCGCATCTCACCTGTTTTCTTGCGGTGCCTGCTTGTTGGCCGGCGGGCGCAGCGGTTGCAGCTGGAGAAGCCTCGACTCCCCCGTTCCCGCGGCCAGAGGCACACGCTGGGCACGACCTTTCGTTCCTTGCTGCTGCTGCTGCTCTGGCCCTCCTGCGCAGGAACCGGCCTTTCATCTCGGCTCTTCGCACAGCTAAGCGTCGCGCTTCGCAACGAGATGAACGGGAAATAGCACGCTCTAACCTTAAAAGAACACATGACAACAGAAATTAACAGATTGGTAAATATGACTAGCATTAGGCAGCACATACTTCACAAAGCTCCAGTTATGGCAACAGCAAATAAGACAAATGGAAAACATTAGAAGTGAGACGATTCAAGAGCCAGAAGCGATCTGGCTTTTCTCGAGCAGAGCTCAGAAAGTCAGCGTAGCGTCAAACTGGTCACCGGATGTGCTTGCTAGTCACATAGTTAAACAGAAGAGAGCAACTTCAGGTGCAAGTAGTGCGTTTTATCATCCTTACGTAAAGCTGAATAATTTCCTAGTATCAGAACACCTTACAGAAGTTAATGAAACTGTATGTTCCTGACGATACAAGAACAGTTCTCCACCAAGAGCGTGTACCCGTGGCAGAAAATCAGAGTTCAGCCAGGAATTCCCGTGTACAGCCACCAAAACATTCCGCAAATATTTAGCGTCGAGTTTTGTGACGATTTTCTTCCACAGTCGGTTCCTTACCTGCCTGTGAAGTGACATTATTTTTCATTTACATTTCTTTTCTCCCCATTTATTTTTCTCCCATGCTCTTCTCTCTCTCCATCATCTTTCCCGCACTCCACGTTACAGCAACACATGGATCCCATAGGTGATGCCTGTACGGTGAAATTGTTTGCATGCTTTGGAGCGGGCTCCCCGAACCCCTGTCATTCCCACGCCACGTCTAAGGGCCAAGCTCACAGCCTGGGGGGGGTTTCCAGCCTACGGTTCCCCGTAGCTGCATCATGCAGACCCGTCCCTCTGACCCGAGACGTTCTGCAGCATGACTGTCACCTACAGACTCGCAGTACCTTAATTTGCATGGTACTTCTGCTTTGCTCACGGGGTCATCGGGGCTGGAGGGGGTGGCACATTTGTTGACAGTCACGAGCTGTCTCACGGACAGAGCCGGTCCCAAACGTGCCTTGCCGTGGGGAGCAGCACCCTTGTTGCTAGGCCTTAAAGGAAGTCCCTGATGCTGAGTGCTCCACCCTCCAGTTGTAGCTGAGTGAAAACATCCTTCCTAACTTCTCTGTCTGCCGGCACAGCGGTGCCCCATTTCTTGCCTCACCCCACAGCCCCAGCAGCGCAGGGCC